TATAAAACCTTAATTTTTTTATTTCAGCTAGTTGCCATAGGGTAATATTTCTCATTTTAATTTAGTTTTTCTTGATGTACTTAACTAAAACTGAAATCAAATTTACTGAAATAAAAACTACATAGACATATTTAAGAAAAAACTAAGAAAAAAAAAAAACCAAGAAACCAAAACAAAAGGACAATAACAACTAAGAAAAACATAAAACAAAATTACTAAAACTAACTAAAATACAGAAAATATAAAAAATAAAAACAAATCCAAGTATTAATTAAAAACTACAATAGTATCTCAGTGATACTAAAATACCCTTGCTGTCAAGAAAAATACTGTTTATACAAAAAAAAAAATATTTTAATTTTTTTTCTACGCAGGTGTTATTAGGTTTTAGACAAACTGAACAAAACAGATTTTTGGATTTCCGATTAGAACAAGATAAAAATACACTTTAAATAAATGACATGGTCGTTGTACTTTTTTCAGTGTATCTGGCATCACATGAAATCTGGTTATTTCATACGTTAGCAAATAAAAGATGAAGTAAAAACTACTGATAATGTAAAAACTAAAAACTATTAAATAAAGAGAAATGAACTTCTCCACAATCATTTTTTATTTCAGATTATTTCTGAAAACAGGAACTATACTGCTTTGAGAATAATACAAAAGGCAAAAACTATATGCTGTCTGAATTCAATATTAAACATAATATTAAACTAAATAGTAGTCGGATGAATCTAAAAACAAAGGCTCTGAAAGACAATGGCATTTTTAGAGTCAATTCTATGACTCCAAAACATCTCATAAGGAGTTAAAAAGTACAGTCACACCCTTCACAGGTACATGTAGCATGGAGTAAAAGTTTATGAGCATAAACACAACATTCCTAATATCTTTCAAAACAGCAATAACTATGCCCTTCTCATCTACTGTACTTGACTTGCTTTTTCTATCTGACTGGATTCTGGACTACGGGTGCCTCAGGGTGGATATGATCCAATGGAGAGACATCAATCATTACCAAAAATAGTACTATTTTCTAGTTTTAATCCTGTCCATTAGGTGTTGTTGGACTGTCAGAGAGTTACATTCTCACTACTAAAGTCATTTTCTGATAAACTGTAAATAAGCTACATTATTCTGGATTGGTCATCGGTGCTATACTTTATTATGAATTTGTACCTAGATAGAAATGAGTATGATGTATTGTCCTTGTTTTGTTAAGTGATCACACCTCGTCAAATTAGTACAGAAACACAAATATACAAAAGATTTGAACATTAGACAATACAGTTAATATGCACTACACTGTCTATGCATTAAGGCCCGTGCTATGAACTAATAGTTCTCAATTGATTTCTCTCCTTTGCCTATTTCCTGACCTCTTTCACTCACTCAGTTCATCCTTCTCCCTCTCTATCACTTTCTCTCTCTGTCTCTGAGATCAACAAAAGCTCAAAACTTAGTGGTGTGACTGTGGTCGTAGCTCTTAAACTTCAACACTGCAAAGTTATAGGTTGTGGCCATCACATAGATGAGCTGAATGGGAGAGAGACAAACCAGTGGGTGAGAGCCAAACAGTTTTTACAATAGCAACTTTACAACAGAAGTTGCACCACATCTCTCGAAAACAGAAAGTATTCAGTAAGATTCTAAACTGATGACAGGATTTAAGAATATAGCATTATATTGTACCAATTTCTTTTCATAGAGCAATTCTTTCCTAAGCAAATTTTCAACATCAATGAAAATTATTCTAGATATGAAATAGCTAAGAAAGCAAGTACAAAATGAACAAGTGAACAAATGAACATCATGAACTCTTACCAGTGCGATCACAGTGGCTCCAGCTCCAGCACA